AACTGTGAAAATATTGTCTTTGTTAAAATTTATATGTTGATATGTATAAAAATGTGATGCTGGAAAATTTGGTGATCAAAAGTATCTGTCTTTGGTGATCATTTGTATCTAAAAGCGTTTGGTGATCAAAAGTACCTTTACTCGTTACATTTGACTAAAGTAAGACATGAGAGAGTTTTTATCGTCATTTTTGATCGATGTGATCGTATCAGAAACCGAATTGTGAAAACACTTTCTCAACCGGAGTCGAAGTTACTGACACTTTTCGTCTTGCTCTTCGTCTTGGTCATCTTATTACTCATTTCCTTAGCGATAATATCAAAAAGATAAAAGGGTGAACAGACTTGAACTGAAAAGTCCAGTCACATCTGTGCAAAATGTCAGTTCAAGTCCTTTATGTCGTTAGTCACAGTTCAGTCACAGTCCGTGTGAACCGAACTTGAACTTGTTCATCTATTTCTCAACAATTAAGATTCGTTTTTGAACCAGTTTCATGATTTGAGTCGACGACTAACATGTGTTTCAAAATTTTTAAAGAACTCAATCTATCTCGAATTCTTCTTGAAAACAAAAAACCGAAATTTTCACTCAAAATTCAAAGAAAATGTATTTTGAACGATGTTGAATTCTCATGGAATATTTCGTTTGTTTTGTTATTTGTTCTGTATCGACGGAAGTTTTTGCCAGTTTGAAAGTAGTTGAAATCGTCGACACCGTCTCTAGTTTGGCAGGGATCTTTTATGCCCGTTCTGGCTCTAAATAGGTTACAACTCTAGTCGAGCAATCAGACATGGACTAAAAGTAATATTTTTGCACTACTATCTGGTAATGGCTACTCACGAGAGAAGATCCCCAACTGTCGAATCGCTTTTTTCACCAGACTGATTCGGCCACGCTGATTCCGAATGTTGACATGGGAGTGGTACCTAGGCCTTAGAGACCGGCTTTCTGGAAAACCTTTTTCACCAAAATTTCTTTTTGATTTTTCTAGATTGTAGAGCACATCGCGTTGTGTATAAAACACTAATATTTTCCATTTCGGAATGCTTCCAACGAAATTTAGATTAGTGTTTTATAGTTCACTAACTTAAACTTTAACTCTAAACTTGTAACTAATATAAAAATTAGTGTTTTATACACAACTCGATGTGTTCTGCAATCTGTACATATCAAAAAAAACTTTGGTGAAAAAAGCCATTAGTTTAAGCTTTATATTTAAAGAAATCAAAGAAAAGAAACAAGAAAAGAAGACCAAACAAGTGAAATAAAAGCCATTAGACAGTTGGGGACCTTCCCTCGTCAGTGCATTATATATCTCTGTTCTTTAGCGCCATTCCGTGCTCTCTTCAAGAAGAAGTCATACGAACTTTTTGTTTTTAAGGGTGAAATATACAATTTACATATGACTGTTGTCGATAAAAATCCAGAAGGAAATTCAAAACGGACTTGTCAGAAAGATGCGAAGGATTTAGCTGAACTGTTTGCGAAAGCAATCGATTCTGGTAAGACAGGCGAAATAATTGATCGTAAACCTTTAAATGATATACGAAATAATCATTCTATCGGATGGAAACAACCGGATTTCTTACGACGAGGCAATGGAAAGCCCGAATATGAATCACCTACGTTATTGGGAAAATTGTATCGAGAAGGTTTAAGAACATTTCTCGAAGCACAAACATCATCGGTACATTCTTATTAAAAAGTTTTTCTGCAGTACGATCGTACATTTTAAATTTACGTTGTAGACATCATCCGATTCACAACGCACATTAATGAACACAAAGAAGTCATTTGATTCTGGATATTCTGCACAGAATTCATCTGATCTAACATCAATTATAAATAATTTCCCAACTACAACATCATTGAGTCCAAATAGTACAGAAAATTCTCCGGTGCGTGTTTCAAGTGTTTTAACCTTTTGAGTGTGGGATTATTTTTTCAAAAAATAATCTCGCAAAAGTAGAGAAACGCCTGTAACTCAAGAACCATGATAGCTAAGAGCTTCTGATTTTGTGTGATCATAGCTCTTACCGAATGCTGATCACTCACCAATTTTGAGTCTCGTTTACTCGATGTTCATGAGATAAAAGCAATTTATTTCGTTTCCGTAAAATATCAATAGCTTCTGACCTGAGAGATGAAAACTTTTCTTTCTACAAAAATGCGGCCACGACTCTACTCTATCGCCGACATGAATTTCGTGAGTGTCTGTTAGAAGTTAGTGAAATACAGCTATGTTACGGGAAGGCGGGCTTTTTTTTGTTGAAAATTCGAGGTCCTTTGTGAAAAAATTCACAATTCCGTTCAGGAACATTATTTTGATCACAAATTCGCATCAGAGACTTTACAGCGTCTGTAGATTATCCGGCCAAACTACGAAGTTTAATTATGGTGTGGTTCTGGAGCACCCACGATTCAAACATATGTAGAAGAACGAGGGTGAAGAACTAAGAGCCGCTCTTTATACTATAGTGTTTGCATTGAATGTACATCATAATCATGAAAAAATAATCATGAAAGACTATGGTTCCGAGAAACGTATGTGAAACTTTTGTCAGAAAGGTTAGACACTCACCTCTAACCTTCGCTATTTCGCTTATTTTGCGCCCTTTTCACGTCCCATATATTTTCAAGCAAAACTGATAACATATTTGAGATCGGCAGACAAAACTGGGTCATTCATTTCATTGAATAATCAATACGTAATATTTACGAAAGTTATTCAGAGCGCAAAATCTCAGGATATGAATTTGCGTCGCCCGTACTCATAAAGGTTAAACTGCATTAGGGGGTATCAAAAGAGACTTTTTGAGTCAAAAATTTTGCTTGTAAGATCATCATGAGATAAAATTTTATTTTTCCTTGAATCTTTTTCATTGGATTTTCCGTACAAAACTTTTTTTCTTTAAGGGGGGGGGGGGGGGGGGGGGCGCGCCGCGCGCGGGCGGGCGGGGGGGGGGGATGGAGGTGTGTTGTATTGTGTGGTGTTGGTTGGGTTG